GGGAGGTGAGGGGCTTGCATTCCTCATATTTGTATAGCCATAATATAAGAGCAAAGGATGAAATGTGAAGAAGGACACCTGTTGAGGAACGACATGAATACAAAAGTACGCCTAGCGTTAAAATAGAAGAGAAGACATCTTACAGGTCTCTCAAATTTGGACACTCCGAAAGTGAAACTAAGTGGGGCAATCTTTCCTTTTCTTATTTAGAACGTCGTGTGTGTTTTTTCCGGAATTAAGTGACACAATAGAAGGTATGGGCCGATCACAGTGGCCGCGCGGTCTAAGGCATGAACTGTCTTCGCTGGCTCGAACACTCGGATCGTGGGTTCTAATCCCACTCAAGGCATGGATGTCTCTCTGCGTTTATTCTGTGTTTGTGTAAGTAGCGGCCTTGCGACGGGCTGATGCCCCGTCCAAGAAGCCCTGCCGACTCTCTTAGAATTAAGAAACTGGAGTGAAACAAAGCGTTTCTCGGATTGTCTATGTTCCAAATTGGGGGCAACTGGAAAAGGGGGAGAGAGATAGAAGATATTGTAATCAGCCTCACAACAGGAATTCCATCTTTCATACCTTATTTCATTCATCAAAGGTATGAATTCCTCAGATGATTATTCTGCGACAGAAGTTTATACAAAGAATCAAATTACCTTGCGTTTTACTTAAATACACGGAGGATCTATTTACTTTACTAAACGAGGCCAACAACCAGGGTTATATGGCGTCAATTGATTGGATGATAGCGAATAACGAATTGAAAGTGATATGAAGGGCAAAGGCCGTGGTAATCGTTTGGAGGAACTGAGGAAAACTACGAGAATCCTCAGTCTGAATGTTTCGGTCGAGATTCGAACCTCGGCTCCTCCTCAGTACAAGTCTGAGACTTCATCGCTTGAGCCAGGTTACTCGGTTACGAACAGAACGTAACGAGAGGGACACTCAGTTAAAAGAATTAATTGTCGACATGCAAAACAGAACAAATACGTGTATACTGCAGTCTGATGATAACGTATTGCTACATATCCCGAGGGGCACTATACTACAAGCTGCAAGGTCGCGGGTTCGGTTTCCGATGAGGTCATTGAATTTTTCAATTGACCAAATCCTCCCAGCCGCATTATGACCCTGAGGTAGACTCAGCATCTAACAGAAATGAGTACCAGGAATCTTACTGGGGGTAAAGGGAGGCCGGCGTTCAGGGCTGAAAACCTCACTGCCATTTGTGAGCCGATTGTCTAGAAAATATGGGAACCTCGACGTTTCATAACCCTATGGGCCTCCACGGCCTGTTAGAAGGGTATTTTTATATTTATTACATGTACGAAAATTACATATTATATACGTAAAATAACCACCGGTAATACTTCTCATTGTAGATAGAGCCTCCGCAAAAATTTCAGGGGTCGGTGAAAGATACAGAACTCTTGCATCGCAGAGCTTTGGGTAAAGAACGCCTGCCATAGATGTCACTTCTATATGTCTCGATTGTCTAATGACAACAGGTAGTCATTTGGTAGACTGACAGTTCCGCTTTGACAATGGGAGCTATTTAAGGTGCTGAAAGGTGTTTTAATTACGGAATGAGAGTGACATTGTTGCTGAAAATATTATTATCCTGCGTATGCTAGTACTTCTACGTGACTATTTCTCAAGAGGTGTTCGTAGAAAATATTAAGCTTGTGTTAATTAAAAATGAAATACGATTTTGATGCATTTTATTTCGACAGTAACGCAAATTGACGAGCGACTACATTATAAAGATGTATTTAAATCTTAGAGTTTAAAAGTAATATAAACTTGGTTAGTTCCTTGCTTTATTTTAATAGCTATTGTACTACTCAGTGATCAAATAAGAAACGGATGCTCTGTAAAAGTTATAAACCCTTACTCTGAAATGTAATCAAACTTGCAACCAGGAAATAATTACTCGAAACGACTTGGTAATTAAGATTTTTAGAAAGATTATCTCAATATTTTGTGCAAAAATGTGTCCTTAGGGATGAATAGTTAATGAAGTTGAGAGATTATCTTAATTGCCTTGTATATGGGAGAAAGTACTAAGTACGTTGCTTCAGTTTATAGCTAACAGGTTGAAAAATTAACTCAGTTATTTTTATATATGTCGCTCGACACTGGCTTGGTAGTGCCAGTGAGAGACTGATAAATTATACCGATAGACAAATTCTAGTTAACGTTAAATGAAAAATAATTTACAATTCGACAAATTACTATTTTACAATCAGTGACGTTCTGATGCTCTATGTTTCATTTCCCTTCTAGTAGATCAAAGGGTCCGGATTGAAAATAAGTTTTCCCTTGTTTTGCGATATTTCATGTTGTGAACAACGGAGCGGTGACAAACAGGACACGGTGTAGTGGTTTTGGTCGCCATATTCCTCACAAATTCCTGCTGTGCAGACATGATACACAATTCAGAATTTTGGAGCATGGCCATATCTTTGAACATGTACCACGTGCATAAATTACCATAAAATTGTAATGGTGTTGTGTGAGATTGTGAGGGCGCAGGAGCCGTTCCTAGGCAATGCTAATTCTGTCAGTAGATGGGTCTGCCAATAACCGTCTTTTATCGTCAACTCTCGTTATTTTCATGCAATCACTTATTTAGATGTTCGTCACACATGTAGTTTGTGTTTTAGCCTATTTTTCTTGTTTTGTAAAAATAAAAGTAGGCTTATAAAATCGAATTACTGTTCTGTATATCTGTGTCTGTGTGTCTGTATGTGTGTCCCCTCCTAACAATTCTTAAATGTTGCAAATAATCTTCATGAAACTTGGTATGTATATCAAGCCAGAAGAGCCCATCTCGACGGCGTACTTCACAAATACCTCTCATCAGCAGTAACAATACTGCAGCCTCTCAGACAGTTGAGGTAGTAAGCGTAATATTATTTGAATGCCTGAATGGGTCATCATGAAGCATGGAATGTATATAATGCCACCTGAGGTAATCTGAAAGGCATATTTAATAAATTTCTTCCATTATAATACAAATAATGCACCTTATGAAATTGTATAGTTTGTTGACTTCATTACGCCTACATACTTGTTTTTCTACTTGTATCAAATAATTAAATTGTAGTGTAAGGGAAAGAGATTGTTGCCGGCTTGGCGGCAACTTGCTCTATATTTCAACCCGTACGTTAACATAAATTCTGTGTCAAGATCGGAGTCTTAATGTCATGAAATTACAGGATAACCATAACATTTGATAAAGTTACAGGGTTAATTAAATTTATACGGGAATATGTACTGTGTCACCACAACCCGAAACCAATTTCTCCCACTCGCAATTAAAAAAATATAAGAACTCCTAATTATTCATTAAACAATCTCAAATATTAACCGTTGTTATTCTTATTTTATGATTTAATAGTCCGGTGGTATTTGCTATAATACTTTATCGGTTGTCATTTTGGGTGACTTTGTTAACTGGCATAGCTGTGTGCAAAATTGCAGGTACATTTACACGTGTGTAAATCCCGTTCCGAGAAAGTGCCATATGAGCATAGAACATTCTCATGTGTGTGGGCAAAAGCATTTCTGTGAAGCATCCATAAGCGCTACACAGAAACGGAAGAATACGAGCTCCACTATGAAACACGCCTTAAGGCAGCGTTTACACGAGCGCACAAAATGCGTCCGTTGTAACGAAGGTACATTATGACGAACGTTGCTGAGGACACCACACAGTTGCAGAATAAGGGTGTAGTTTCACTGCAGACAAAAGACTAAGCACCGCATTCTGCAACTGTGTGGTGTCCTCAGCAACGTTCGTCATAATGTACCTTCGTTACAACGGACGCATTTTGTACGCTCGTGTAGACGCTACCTAAGTAAAATCATTTTCGGCATTATCGACAACAATTTCAGTCGTCAGCACACCTGTTGTAATATACCCTTCAGATATCTAACAAAGAAGTTTGCAGGAAGAGAAATAAGCATGCACAAATTCTAATCCAACAAAAAATTCTTTACGATTTCTTGACCCTGCTGTTAATAGTTAAGCATCGACGCCTGTAATTAAGTCAATTCAGGGAATTAAGCTAAGTAATCCTGTAAACACTGAAGACATCCAGTAAATGCGATCGATAAATTATGTAAATAAGGATTGTCAGTTTATTACCACAGCAGATATCAATATTAACTCTGCTATGAACCACGTACACATGAATTAGATAGACTATTCAGTCTGTTCTAGCCTTAACTGCAGTTCGTATTTTTCCACGGTGGGCGTGAGATACGCCTGTTAACTCTGCAACCCGTGTATTCATAGAGTCAGTATACGCAGTAGATGCGTGGTCTAACGACTTGAAATAAGGTTCTCACAGTGGCATCACAGTGGGATATGACGTTGTGTAGTTTAGTTGTTTGGTGTAACCTGCTGCCTCCATCTTCAGAACAGAAGTATCTCTTAATAAATAAACTTACCCTCTCTTCTCCTGACATTTGATATTCAACATTTGGAGCATTCAGGAAGGTATGAATTAAATGTCTTTCTGACACAAATTTCAAAACGGAAAATGGTAATAATCTATCTCGTTTATCTTTTGTAGCTACTGAAACGTATTAAATTGTTTCTGAAAATAAACCGTTAAAACAAACTCTCTTATAAAAATATAATAGTGCAATTTGTTCAGAGCCCTGATCTATCAACCCCCCTTTTTTTACTTTCTTCCTTTATTGCACGTTAATTGCAGGAAACTATAGTAGCAAGCGAAAATGGCAGTACAGAATCAGTGTCAAGCTTTCCTCAAGGAACTATTTAAAGTATATGCCTTTAGCGCCCAAACACGATCTGAACAGTTCTATTGTGGTACATAATTTTCTGAGTCATCCCGGATGTTATTGCGAAGAGTTTGCAGAAATAAATTTCAGAACAAATAATCTGACTGTTATAGTGCCAAGACAAGTACTGATCATGCTACACGGACAGACTATCGTCGCTCAAAAAGTATGTAAAACTTTGAACAACGTACCTTTCCTTTTGATTGCTGGTGTTTAGTAATCCGTTACGAACTGCAACCGTTGCCACTGCCATCACTACACCTGTCTGCAAATAATGAGACGCCAGAATTAATCCGTGTGCACAAGCATAGTAAGAGCAACTACTTAACGCAGGTCAAGGCGAAACCTACTTCGTAAAGTAATGAACTTGAATAGGCCAAAATGTTTTATTAGAAATATAACATTAAAGCTTGGAAGAATGGTGTCTGGTAGTACACCTTACACAATAAATTTCTCTCACTTTATTCGTTCAACATCTTTCAGAAAAAGCCAAATATTATCACTAACTAACTAACTAACTAACTAACTAACCAACTCACGGAGCTGAGTCCTTCTTGAAAAGCCGCCAGCTGCGCAGCTATTTAAGAATTTCCAAAAGTTTTATGGAACCTGAAAGTTCACTACCGTGTTCACATATTGGTCCCTATTCTGATCCAGATAAATCAAATTCATACTACTCCATCCTACCTCTCTAAGATACATTTTAATATTATCCTCCTACCAAAGTCTAGGTCCTCCTGGTGGTCTTTTTCTTTCTGGCTTTCCTACCAAATTCTATATGAATTCCTCTTCGTCCCATCCGTGTTACATGCTCTGTCCACCTCATCCTCCTTGACTCGATCATTCTAATTATACTTGGCAAAAAGTACAATTTATGAACATATACGTCGCTACTTATAAAACACTCGTACTTTCAGAAAACAAACCACAAAGCATGAAAACAAAGAAAAAATTACAGTAGTCCGAGATCAGTTTAGCTCTCAAATCTGAACTGAGGGGCCTCTCCAATTAAGCGCCTATTTCTTTAACACTCTGAAAGTAGCAAGGAGCTTGCGGTTGCAGAGTGGATTCAATGGGGACAGTCCAGATCAGAACTGAATGAATCCTAAGCAGTCAAGGAAGATGGGATCGGCTGAAGCTTTATTACGAGTTATTGTAATTTATTGTGATTACCAGTGACTGTACAAGGAGTGCTCAATAAATCCAATTACCAGTCCAAACCACGTCTCTAAGTCAACCGTACTCATGACAATACGTACATTCACCGACACAACTGCTTACCAATTGCCTTGTTACGCCTCATTTAGTAGTACATCCGGAAATCTGTAAGTATTTTTATCGCAGGTATGAAAAGAAGCGTAAAATGCTTCGTAAAGGAAATGTTATTCTGTGTAGAAACTTTTTGCTCAGGTTACAAATATACGAGTAAATATGACGGCATAGGTTTTTATATTCTAAAAAGAGAAATACGATTCAATAGCAGAAGCATATAGCACATATGAATAAAATGATAATTCCATGCAAGGTTGTGGACTAGGAACCTCGGTGGAAGAAGTCAAGTGGAAGACTGAGGTGTAGATTGGAGGACATTTATTTAACGATGCTGTCAGGAGCTCACAGTAACGTCGAATATAAGATGATTAATAAATCACTAATATGCAAAGGAAGGAAGAGGTCGTGGGCCTGTCTCAGGCAATCTCGTTATCTACTAATACCTCAATCATTATAGCCGGTGCCCTGGCCAAGATTCGAACCGATCATCTCCAGAAAGCAAGTCAGAACTGTTACCGACTGAGTCATTTTACTCTGTTATGAAAGGACAAAAGAAATGAGAAATAGGTATGTAGCTTGAGAACGGATTGAACTGGCTCTGAGTGTCAAATAGCGGGATTTTGTGAATACTGCAGTGAACCTTCGGGTGCCAGAGAGTCGGGTGATATCATGACAGCAGAATGAGTATTTACAAAATTTCAATTAAATTTGTAGTTAGAATTTCTGTCCTATGTTTCGTGTAAGAAGTACACTCCTTTCTTCCGTTTGTGCGTTTGAGAAGATAGACACGGATAACGTACTCGTACAAACAAAGCAAAATGTAGTTCACTAGAACAAGAGGAAATATTCACTAGCGGTAACATGAGGAATGTCTAACTTAATAAGACGTTTCAATTGATTGTCAAAACATATACAGCGATTTCATTGTCACGTAGCCCCTGAACAGATAGACTATACCTGACGTCAATGTAGAGAAACCGCATATGGGAGAACACGCTGCAATAAAAAACAAATGCGTGAAGAAATTCTGCTCTGCGGCCATAGTAACGGTAAAGCCGGGTACAAGATCACACGCCCTATTGACTGCTCCTTACGGAGAGAAGTTCACGTACGCACCAGTCTTTATGTTCCGCCACTTACAGAAAGAAATGCAAATCATTTGTGGTTCTCGTGTTGTGCGATAAATTCGTTCCGCTGCTCGTATATTGGCAACCAGCAATTTCCTTTCCCAATCTACCGGCATATCCAGTACGAGGTGTGATCAAAACATTCCCAGACTCAGTATTTTTTCTTAATACTTGACAAGTTTAGCTAGTCTATGCTTCCCACTTCAGAGAATGACGTTACACAGGAATTATAAAGAGAGTGCCCTTATGGAAAGCATCTGTGGAGACCATGGGTATGACGTTACCAATGTTCTTCCGTTAATTAAGAACACGACTTTTGTGCACAGAAAAAGAAGACCGCACGGGGCTAGATCTTGAGAGGATTGTGGGAACAATCGTAATGCGGTCCCGGGCAAAAATTCTCGAATAAATACAAGTAAAACAAACCCTCGCTAATCCGGAGTAAATGGGGGAGGCAGAACGGATTAAGCGATAATCCAGATTAGTGAAGCAAAATGTAGCCCTAAAACACAAAAGAATTAGAGCAAAATAAATGGAAAATTTAATGATGTAAGTACTGCTGACGGAAATAGATAAAAAAGTAATATATTTATTTCATCTATTGAAGACTCGGATGTTGTACTTGTTTTTTGAACATAATAAAGCAGGTTTCAAGAAACCGCAATTTTTGTCTGAACATACAAGTGACTCATCTGCCTTCCTAAATGACATATCTTTTAAAGTATGTACTCTATTGTGAACAGTAGTTTCCAATTTAATATTTCGATCCTGATTAAGTGTAACCAGATTAGAGGGGGTTAGTTGTCATTTGAAGTACCCAGAGGAGTGTGAATATCAGAAGTACGATGAAAACATAAGGCTGACTGCATCTCGCGGAATAGAATGCTGAAGAAAGCACAAGAAAACCCTGACGACTGTTGAGAAAATTAATTGAAAGGCCTCTTTCCTCCATACTTTCAATTCTGCTCCAGCTGTATTTTTTAATTGTAGACGCAGCATGGACACGCATCACAGAAAACATACGTCACATGACTGCTACCCAGCCAGCTCATTGGTACGCTGGCTGGACCTACAGAAAACACACGACTATACTTTGTTGTCAAGTAGTTCTTGGTTTTTATATATTTATATTTGTGCACTTCCCCAATCACGAATATACTGTGACATGTACATCCATTGCTAGGCACCGCCCGCAACACATACGCCGCCAACAATACTGGAACATTATCTTCTTTGCGTCCGTGCAGTTTGCGCATGCGCAGTGACCTGACCACAACAGTGTTCAGCGATCACATGATATGTTTTCTATAGATTCATCCAGCGCGCCAAAGGACTAGTTGGATATCTACCACGTGACACCTGTTTTCTCTAGGTCCAGCTAGCGTACAAATCAATTGGCTGGGTAGCAATCACGTGAAATATGTTTTCTGCGATGCGTATCCGTGCTGCTTCTACATAAGTGAGCAGAATTCCGAAGCTGGAGCAGTAAGTGGCAGGAGTACAGCAGTGAGCGGAGGAGTACAGCAAGCAAGCAGTAAGCTTGAGGTGTACAGAGGAGTACGAGAAATCAGCTTGAGAAGATTTAACGGGATTTGAAGACGTTATGTGTTCTGTAGTACTTAGGAGTGTGTGATTTAGTGAGTCTCATATATAGTTCCTGTGTTATAGATCCGTTACCAGGAAGTGGATAGTGAAGACTAACGGAAATGGACTTACAAGATTAGCCTTGGGCGATTCCTAATATGAGAATCAGTAACACTGTTATATCTATTTGTAATTACAACCTGTAAATGTTTAATAAATATAATTACCAGTCCGAACCCCGTCTATAGGCACTGATACACGCGATAATACATTCATACCTACACATACGAACCTTTAAATAATTTCGACTTCTCGTAATAAGTTAACTGCAATTCTATTCTTTAAAAAAATACGGCATTTATTTGAATAATTGTCTGCCATATTTGTTGTTGAACTATATATTACCACTCTCTGAAATGTGCGATAGCCTTGAACAAATAGTACATTAACACATCCTTCAAGTTTGGGGCGTCATCTTTGACCCTGCTGTTGGGTGGTTACAAGCTAAGGAAGTTTTCACTTCTGCCATGAAAATGTCTACCAATGCGACTATTAAAATAAAAAATGAACTTTCATTAATCACTCTTTCTGAAGTAGGTTTTTATTTTTATGGTCGATGTGTGAGCTAAAAGAATGCCGCCAATTGCAGTGCATCCATCTGGTTTCACGAAGAATCATTTCTTACTGCTTTGACACCAAAATCAGAGGAACTTGGTATGCTTTGTATAAAACATTTCTGAGAGTGCGCTGTATTTTGAAAAGGTAACTTCACAGAAGAAAAGTCTCTGTGTTTAACCAGATTTCCAGTATGGCGACTTTGGATCGCACTCTATATTGAAGAAAGACTTAACTTTCAAATGATGATATACCGAATCAGGTCACTTATTTTTTTATTGCTAATGGGGTGGGACTAAGTCCCTTGTACTGCGACCACTTCTGGTCTATTGTACCAGCCCCAGATGATAGGTGAGGGTGATTGTGGAGCAATTGGTGGAATGAAGATTGGCAGGGGAAACCGAAGAACTCGGAGAAAACCTACTCCAGCGCCACTTTGACCACCACAACTCCCACTTGACCAGACACGAGATCGAACCCGGGTAGTTGTGGTGGGAAGCTAGCGACTAACCGCTTGAGTTATGGCACGGCCTAATCAGGTCACTAACTCTTTATGTTGCAGTGATATACTAGTATATGTGTTAGACGCAGAATACCAACTAACTTGCAAGCAGTCCGGAACTTTTTGATCACACCTCTTGTAAGCAAACTGTCCCTAGGAGTTACT